CTCAGCCAAATAATCAAAAGCAATTTTATTTGTCTGCATAGCCTAATACTATATAAAAATTAATATTTTGCAGTTTCGGGGTTTCGGATGAGGTTTCGGGTTTCGGGTAAGGTTTCGGGTTTCAGGTAGGGTTTCGAGGTTTCGGATAAGGTTTCGGAAGCTATAATCCGAAACCCGAAACTTTTGGATTTTAGCTCAAAGGGTTTCAGGGCCAACTCTACCTTAGACTAAATCAATCAAATTGGTCTGGTCAAGGTTGACTATTGACTAACTTGTGCTAACTTTGAGTTATAACCAAAGATCTCAAAAATCGTTTCTGGGTTTCCAAGCTATATATATATACTTGCTAATAAAAAAAAAAATCTTAATATCTTCTGAGACAAAATTGGTAGCAAATCTTATTTTTTCTTATCTAAAAGGTTTTGATAGCTTATGAAATTCAATGGAAAAATCCAAAATTGATGCCAAAATTCCAAATCCAAAACTAATATCTGAATTTCGAATCAATGTCAAAATTCAAAAATTAACACCGAAATACTAAACTGATGCTGAAAATTCTAAATACTGAAATAAATCTCAAATATTGGAATATATATATTATATATATCACATGTGTTAGCATAAAAATTTGATTATATAAGATGAATCATTTTCATCTGTTTTTGGTTTTGACAATCCTAGGTCTAAGATATAAGGTTGCATACTTTTACTAATACCTAATACCTTCATTTTGCAAAATATTATCACTGTGAAAGTCTGCATGAACATATCCTGCTTTATGAATTTGACCTAAATCATATTAATAAGCTGTATAATGATTTAAATTTCCTCTTTCAAAAAATCATGGGAATTTCCTTGGGTCTTGAGAGCAACGGTACCAGATGGTTCACATGATATTATGTGTCGATACCCACCACTATCAACATCTTTAAACTTTCATATACCATCTAATTAGGTTGCAGAAAATACCAAGCCAAGTACTCATCTGCCAATTTTTATAATATTATTTAGTGGAATCCACTCAATTATATATTAATAATCATTAATTCTACTGTAGGTCAAGTACATATTGCTTTTTTTTATTGCATAAATAATTTGATTGCTTAGTACTAACCTTAACTTTCTAATTAAGTCAAGCATCATATTACTTTTTTTTATAATACAAATAATTTGATTCTTCACTTAACGGGAGGTTTCAGAATTAACTTATTTCAAAAATAAGTAGAACTTTAAAAGATCATATTTCTGTTTTAAAATTCTGAATCATAAAATTAGTCTCTTCTGATAAATATCTACCGATAAGCGATTATGTAGATAAGTATATATATACTTTAAAAAAATAAAATTTATATGTCACTTATTTTAAATAAATATGTTATCTTAAATCGAATGTCAAATCGTTAATTTTGAAACCCATAATATAAAACTTTAATTTATATAAATTCTTTCGAATAATAATAATATTATAATAATAATAATAATAATAATAATAATAATAAGTATCGCATTATTTTTGATTACTGTAAATAATTTAAATCAGTCTTTGCACAATATATGTTACTTTCTATTAATTAAACTTGTCTCTTGACCTAATGATTCCAATAGTTGTGGTTGAAAACTTTAATATAGAATTATAACCTTCTCGTATAATAAAATAAAGTTGATTAACAGATTTACTATCGAGAAATTTAATTAACTTTTCAAGAAATTATCCACAAATTAGACAAAAATTTAAATCACGATTGGTCGAAATTTGATATACTGTGAATCAAAACAAAATTTCAAGAAACTTTCAAAGAATAAAAAAGTAAGTATATTATCAGCATTTTGATGGGGTTTGCAGTAGTGGTATTCGTACCTGTTAGATACGTCTAATAGGGAAATACTAAACAGATATTTCTTCTTTTGCGATTATTACTTTTGCACTAGAAGCTAGAAGACGTGAAAAATTGTTATATAGGCGTTTCGCCGAAAAGATCAACTGATTATCGAGGTGGGAAGAGAAGATTCCCCCCTTTTTTTTATATAACAAGAAACCTCTGTTAATGTATTTCTCATCATGTTTTTTTTTTTTTTTTTTTGCTTGATTATACTTATTGTGAAACGTGATTCATTTTTCTTATTCGATTTTCTTATTCGATTTTATTCTTATATAGGCAAATTATGAAAACTTTTCATGACAGATTTTGTTGCTATGCGAAGATACTTCGCTAGCACAAAATCAATAAACCAAAAAGAAATCGTTGGGAAAGTGAAATCGAGGATAATTACATACCACCAGCTGGGGCTCCCAGTTGGTGTGTTTGAAGAAACTCTGTAGAGTTTTTTAATCTGGATATAGAAAATATATATTACTTATATTCGTATGTATTATATATTTTTCTTTTTTCTTTATTTGAGCAATATTAAAATAATTTTTACGATTTATTTTTATTGTTTGTTATTATTATTATTATTTAAAAATATCAGTTCCCATAAAACTTTATATTCATGTGCGCTAATGAACCAATCTTGGTGTAGTATAGCAATCCTTTACTGTGGCACAAGCCAATGTTCGAACACAAATTTTTACGCCTAACGTTAAACACGCTCAAGAAAGATAAACCATGGCTTATGAAGTTCCATGAAGACGAAAATTTAAACACGCTCAAGAAAGATAAACCATGGCTTATGAAGTTCCATGAAGACGAAAATTTTTATTTTGATGTTTCAACTGATTTTAAGAATTTTTATGAGAAATAGACTTGTTTTATCATAATTATTATCCGGTAGCCTAACTCAATTTTAATTTATATTTAGTTGTTTCTTGAAAATAAATTCCCCATTATAAAGGAGTTTTTAGCCCTTCTTGCAGAACTTCAAAAAATATACCCGGGGAACTTAGAAAACATTAAATTTACCAGTGATGATGAAATAATAATAATAATTATTATTGATTATTCGAACGTATATTATGTATTTTATATTATTTATTTTTCTAAAAATTTTTTTTTTTTGTAAGTCGTTTCTACCATTATATTAAAACATTTGAATTACACGAAATAATATATCGAAATCAATTTTAAAATCAAATATGTAACTGACTTTTGGGAGGCGATATTAGGGTCCATAAATATCACCTTAATCATTTCAAGATCCGAGATTTAAGATTACTAATGCCTTGCCATTATGAAAGTCTACATGAACATATCCTGCTCTATAAATTTGATCTAAATCTATGAAACATCTTTAAGTAGTTTTAATTTAGTTTGCCAGATAAGATCTCAATATTTCATTCTTAAAGAATTCCATTATCCGTGTGTTGAAATACCATAAAAATATTTGTTAGATTCTGTGTTTTGAGTCAATTCATATATATTAAGCCTACTACCGTATAAACTACTTTTGGTTATCATATAAACTCATTAGTAATTTGTTATACCGAATATAAATTATATTTAATTATATAACGGACTCACTATAACGAACAAAAAATATCTAGAATAGCCAGTTCGGCATAGAGGAAGGCGATTGTACTGTATATGTTTTATATATGTATAGTATAGATTTTGAATCGGAATCCTTAATTCGATTCTGAATCTACTTATAATAAATGGATTTCGAATCTCAAAAGTGGAAATCTATGATAGAATTCATCTAAAATTTCGCTACCTTTAGAAAAGAAACCGCTGATAGTTTTTCTTAAATATTGATTACAACCAAATTCCATAAAAAAAAAATTTTTCTACTGCCTTTTAAAAACTAACTATGGATAAAAGTTTTTTCCAAATGTTTGATAAAATGATTAAAAAATTTCCAAACATAGGTAAATATTAAACATTTTATTATCACGGCTCGCTCAGGTTACACGAAATCTCGATTTTAGTCATAACTAATTTATTACTAAATATATTTGATAAATGATGTAAGGTTTTCTTTTTTCGGAAAAATTCGTATCTTTTTCTTTGAAATTTCAAAATTAAACCAAGAATGATTCAGACTAATGTGGAAAATAAATTACCGTCAAATATTGATATTTCACAATTAAAAACGGTTCTTGAACGATTCATGTCATATCCAGACTCGAGAATCAAAGATTTCTTAGTTGAACGTGAAATTCGAAGAATTCAAATTCAAGCTCAAATATTTAAAAACTTAACAATATTTTCTATTGATCGAAGTAAATCTTTGTCCAAATCTTACGAATTTTTACTTAAAGGATTTGAAAAAGATAAATTATCATTTCGTGGTTTGAAAAATACATTTCTTCAAAATTCAAATTCTATCGGTTCACTTTTAAATTCAGAACTAACAATTACAAAGATGTTTCAAGAATGTGAAAGGATTCGTATGGCTTATCATAATATAAATAAAACTTTAGCAAATGTTTCAGATAATTTGGAAGATCGAATACGTGAATTTAAGATTCAGAAATTTGATCTTAATCGGGAAGCTTTAAATTTGCAATCAGAAGCAAAATATGCACAAGCAGAATGTGTAGTCTTAGGTGGCTCTTTTGGTGTATTTGTTGGCATTATTGCTGGAGTCGGTGTAGGCTCTTATATGGTTCCATTTGACGGTGGTGTGGTGGTTTTGTCTACTGTTCTTGCGAGTATGTGTGCTGGCTCTTTGTTCGGTCAAATATTAGAAGAAAAGATTAATAAGGCTGCTCAAAATAAAACCAGAAAAGCCGATAAAATTTATGAAAAAGTCGAATACGTTAGTAAGATCGTTGAAGATGTTGAGACATTTAAATCAAGTGTTCAGAAATTCGAAAAATTTTGGACAGGACATGTTGAACATCTTACTAGTGTACAACAAATAATTGAAAATTCATCAAAAGGTGATATTGATTTGAAACATATTAATATTCAAACCATTTTTAATGATTGGAATAGGGCCAAAAATTCTTTGTATAACTATGGAATTAGTGCAGAAGATTTTCGAATTTGGCCTTAACGCTAGGTCTAAACGAATCTTCAGACTTTATATTTTGAAAATGAAAATAACAGACCGAATCGAAATTTTTCTTCATAGGTATTTGAATTGTTTGAATACTACAAGGATGTTTCCACTTCATAATTATTTAGGCATAATTCAGACATGAATTTAAGTATTTATTAAAAGAAAATATTGAGCATTTGTATTATTTCGATCATATTCACGTTATTTAAAGTATGCTAATATGTGTCACATATGTTTAAAGTTCAGTATAGTATACAAACCAATTAATCAATAGAGTCGATTGAATCGTTAACATCCCTAGCGTTGCGGACCATTTAATAAAAAAAATTATACGAATTAGATTCACATCCCTACAAAACATCTTTGTTAAAAATATTCGAAGTAAACATATTTTCTGTTTTTGTACATTTTTTAAGCCAATTGTCATTAAACCAAAATTTTATAAATTCGACTCGTTAATAATGGTTTGAATTGAACAAAATTTTCATAAAGTACAAAAATGCACAATGTCTTGCTGCACGCTATTTAACCTGATTTAAATTATTTTTCTAATTTATTCTTTATTTATTATACTTTTGTGTTTGAATACTAAAAGTTCAAAGATTTATAGAAATTTGGTTTCTTATTATTTTATTTTTTATACAGTATATCCTTTGATATATTCTTTGCGACAATAACCCATTTATTTCCCTGGCTTCTTTGTGTTCAACTCCAGTCTGAAAATCAGATATAAAATTCAAAATAAAAATCAACCTTTAATGGATTAAAGTTAGGATTTATATTAGATATGTTTTAAGCTGGCTCTAGCTGTATAATGGTACTGAGCCAGATCAAGATTATAGAACCATAGCTTGAAATACACTTTAAAGCTGCAATTTAAGCTATAGCTTGTGCCACGGCCTAAGCCATGACTCAAATATTGTTTACATTAACATCTCTAATTTTAAAATATTAGAGTCATGCTCTACTCATGACTATTGGAGTTTCTGTCTGAAGCCATGGCTTTTGAGACCTGAGTCAAATCATCTAGGCCATAATAATTCTAAGATAAATTACGCTACAGCGTAAAGAAAATTTTTAGATAACCGTTACACGAAAGTCCATGATTTGATTGGTCAAGGCGATATTGAACACTAATGACATAAAGTTCAATTATGATCCAAATCAAAGATTAACAAAAGTTTTAAAAAAATCAGTATTGAGTTTGTTTGTTAAAAATAATACAAACATGATAAATTATTAATCTTTTGCCAATCCGCTTCAAGTTTTATCCATTCTCTTTAGTGAATATTGATTTAACTGGACTACACTCATTTTCTTCCGGTAAGATAATATTATAACGAGCGATCCTACCAATATTTGTAAGTCCTTGAACAATTAAATTCTGTGCAAGAAAAATCTGCTATACGATCGACTCTCTACCTAAGAATCTATTCTGGTTTTCCTTGCTATATACGCTTCTAACTGCTTCGTAATTCCTTACACTATCCCATTTCATTCTATTATTATAATAATATGGCTTTGAGGCTTCAGCTAACTGTAGGTCTTTTAATGAAGCAAAATATACGTATGCCATATTATAAATAATGAAAATATGTATAAAATAATGAAAATATCAAACCTCTGATGACGGTATTTCTTCATGATGTTCACCCACATCCTGGTTTAAAGGGTTTAAAGAGAGATCGTCGTTGACAGACTAATGCAGTTCACACGATTGTCAGTAATCTCACTCAATCAAATTTCAAATTATATACTGACTTTTTTTTATGGTGTCTCATTCTCTTTTTCACGAGCCCGTTTATTTCCAACGTTACTAATCTGTATATTATCGCACGATGAATTTATGAACTGAATATTTGTTCCTGTATTGATCAATCTCGTTTTTTGCGTTACGCTGATTCTTTTTCTTGACAACAAAAAAAAAAGCTATTAGTTCTACCTAAAATAATTTCAGTGCATTAACAATATTCAACGCTAAAAAAAACCATAACAATCAAAAAGATCGTCAGAGGAGTGGCAAGAAGCACACATGCCTCCTAGTTATGGATGTCGCAACCACAACGATCAAGAAGATCCTCAGAAGGACAACGAAAAGTTGTGTCTTCCTAGTTGTGGACAACGCAGTCTTCAAAAAGAACACTGCGAAGGACATTCCCGTATAAAAAAAAGTACTTGCCCGAAGATCGGCTAAAAGCAATCGCCTGGAGACTTTTAACAAGTGCGTCCGTTGCTTTACTATAAATTAGTTCATGAGAGTCAATCCAGCTTTTATGAAAGTGAAAAAATGGTCCAGTCTTTAACAGAAGTCTCGTCAAAATAACGATTCCGCCACTTAGACATAACGATAGCGTGTTTTGTCAGAAAAAGTTAAAAAAGTGAACGCGTTGGTACCAGTATTTTACCAGCATTGCAGCATTGTTAAGATGTGACAATCACCATGATTTTGACGTGTTGGGTTCTGGGATCATGTAAATCAATTGCCCGGGTAACTTATTTATACACTTTAAAGTACTTTTTTCGTAAAAGCAAATTCTAGTCACTGTTAAAATTAATCCAAAATAATCCACATTTCCAAGAACTTCACTTAGGAGCGAATATTTTTACTATATACTGCTAATACTGGCTATATTAACTATATGTAAGTTTTAAATGCCAAAAACGGTCAATAAAAAAAGAACTTAGAACTTTGAGTGTACTGTTTAATGTGATATATATTATAATAATAATAGGCTTGTACTAATGTTTACAGTATATTTTGCGTTTATAGAGCTATACTACTAGAGTAATAAATGTAACTTTGGGTTAAGTAACAGGTTGATAATAGCGATGTAAACCATATTAGGTATATATAAGTAAATTGATGCATGGAACTTTTGATTTTGAAAATAATGCTAGTTAAAGATAGTTATCGGTTGTCATAGATTCCTTACAATGAATTTAATAAAGATATTAGGTAATTTATTATATCAATTCATCAATGTTTTATACTGTATTATAATCTAATTAAAATTTACTTTTTTTTTTACATTATGTTATTGGCGCTAATAATCCGACTTTTTTTAAAGTGTCTGGGTATGTCAAAATACGATTTTCAAAAGTTGCATCTACGGATTCTTTACGTAAAAGTCTTTATTATGTTTCACAGATGGTACGGGAAAAGAAGTTAGCTGTATTGAATTGCATTGCTTCTGATCTTTAGATAATTCATTCTAAAAATATAATTCATCAAGATTTGCATAGTGAAAATATACTGTATAAAATTTACCTCTAAAAATTCATTTTTTTGTTTTTAAATTGTTTCTTTAATTGCTTATATAGCTTAATTATTAGGGATGTAATTAATTGCGTTTCTCTACATACAGTACTAAATTTCTACTGCACTGACTATAGTATCAAATATTTAATAGGTTCATTCGACAATACCAGATCCTACGCCAAGCTCCTGTTGCCTTTTTCGCAAAATACTGCTAATAAAAAATTCCCCTGCCTTATAACTACTTCTGACTAAAGGTCCTGAAGCTGTATATAAAAAGCCTAAGTCATCTCCTACTTTTCTCCAATATTCAAATTTTTCTGGCGTAATATATTCATAAACTTTCATATGTCTTTTAGTGGGACGCATATATTGTCCCAAAGTAACGCAATCAACTTCAATCTTACGCAACTCTAATTTGTAATATTTGTATTAAAATAAAGCATTTATAAAATATAACAATTAATAATAACACAAGTTGAAATTACCTTTCATTGCATCCATTACTTCTTGATCAGTTTCACCAACTCCAAGCATTATACTAGATTTTGTGATCAAACTTGGTTTGATTTTCTTAACATATTCCAATACCTTCAAACTTTGCTTAAATGTAGCTCTACGATCTCGAACGTATGGAGTTAATGACTCAACTGTTTCTATATTGTGAGCATAAACATCCAAACCAGAGTTTGCAACTCTGGCCACACAATCGAGATCGCCCTGGAAATCACCTGTAAGACATTCTACGAGAATGTGTGGTGCCCTATAAATTTGAAAGTATATTGATTTTACTTTTCCCAAAACTAGAGATGGATAATGACATTGTAACTAACTTCTTTTTGAGCAATCGAATAGTTTTTGCGAAATGTTCAGAACCACCGTCAGGAATATCTAGAATTTCGATCGAGTAATAAATGATATAAGAAAATGAGAATGCGTAATATTCACAGATTTACTACTATGTGGTCTATCATACCATCACGATCAACTGAAGTTAGTACAACATAATCCAAACCCCACTTCGAAATTGCCACGGCAACATTTTCTGGTTCATTACTATCTAATGGTTTTGGTGTTCTGCTTGTTTTTACAGAACAAAACCGGCAACCCCTTGTACATTCATTACCCATTAGCATGATAGTTGCTGTAGCAGTTTTATGTTCACCACCGCCCCAACAATCACCAATATTTGGACATCGTGCTTCTTCACAGACCTTTTAGGTTATGGAATGTATAAATTATTTAGAAAAGTAAAATAAAGAATGTTAAATATAATAAAGAATTAATAACTTACAGTGTGAAGATTTAATCCACGCAAATCACTCTTTATTCTAGCATAATTAGCACCTACAGGAACTTTTGTTTTGAGCCATTCTGGTAATCGTTGATACCTAATATAACATTAAAAAAATTCAATTTAAATCATTACAAAAGAAAATGATTATTTGGAATATTTTAATCCTATTGTTAAGAATTATCGAAAATAAGCACCTCCTTTAAAACTTATTCACGGCATAAAATGAAATTTATATATTTAATTAGCAAAAATCGCTTCACAAGTTTCACAGGGTTTGACTAAGCTGAAGGTGGTGCTTATTTGTAGCAAGATACAGACGATATTACTATATAGTATAAAAGAATTAATAATACATTATGCAAAGGTTAATTGCTTACGGTATCTTGGCATTTTGTTCATTTTCTTCTGAAGTAGGAGTAGAATTGTTAGGCGAAGTCGTTTTATGTAAATAGCGAAAGAAACCCCAAAACTCCTGGCGAAAGGTGAAACTCTCAGTGAAAGACGAAACCTCTGGAAAAAGAAGGGGCCTCTGAGAGTGTAATAAAAGGGGAATTCTCGAGAAAGGTCGAGTTACATTAGTAAATGAAAGCATTTTTTCAATCTGTGCATATCGATATCGCCAACTTGATTTCTTGAGCCTTTTTTAGATGAGTTGTTACACATGGGTTTTTGCATAATATTATACATACAGTGAATCAGTTTTTAATTAAATTTGGTTTGTTAATTGTTGAGATATTTCTATTTAAAGTTTTAAAAAATTTTACTTAGAAAAAATTCGCTTGTTTTCTATTAACCTCACCCCATATACTATATATTAAAAAATAAAACAAACAGAAATTCCTTCATTTGTTTGATGAAAAGTTTTTAATCGCTTTAACAAGCTACCAACATTAACTATAACGATAACGGTGTAAAATTCTATTCTTTCGTGATCACAATCACACCGTTACAATTATTGATGCTGGTGAAATTAATTTCAGCATCTATAGTAACAATATTACCATTAGAAAATATCTCAGCGAACTAAATAGCTATATAGTAGTATGTGACCTATCGCATTGCTCCCAGGATTTGATTATTTATAATATAACGACCATTTATTAAGTGATTTTTATTATTTAATTCATTTTTATGCATTAATTTATTGAGTCTAGAGAATGTTTATTCATCTAAGCTTTAAAATAAACTATTCAATTTATTATTTTAATTTTATTTGCGTCAAGTAGAAAGCACATACAGTATATTAATCTAAATCATATTGTAAAATGGTCTCTACAAGCGGAGCATGTGACACGACTAGAGCTGAATTTTAGAGTATATGGATTTGAATTTTAAAAAACAAATTTGAGAGAGAGAAAAAAGAAGAATATATATATATAATACAGTATATATTTATATATATGTCGTACCCCAGATTGGAATTGTCCTGATTCAGAATCGGGCTGCCCCAGTGTAAATTATTTTTGAAGAATTAGGGATTTTAGGGGTAGAGTTAGAGCTAGTGTTAGGATTAGAGTTGGTGTTAGGGTTAGGTTTAGGTTTAGAATATAAAAATTAAATAAAAATTACAATGTTTTCATCCGGTACTGTCCTGATTCTGAATCGGAAAAATTCCAATCCGGGGTACAACATATATGTTAGACGTCACTTTCATATTTCCGCCAATTAAAAATTGACGTACGTAGCTTCGAAATTGCAAATTAAAGTACTTCATATTTAATCGGTATCGGTATGATTTTATCGATTAATAAAATTATTTTTATTAATGATTGTTAAAGATTAAACCACTGCTAAGCGCTATATGATTTTTGCATGTACACAACCACAACGAAAAGTACAATGAGCATTGTTCTTACGACAAGACAACTCCTACTTTCACAATTTGTTTTATTGCATTTGTAATATTTAGTGGTCGGGTTAAGTTTTGTTGAGCACCAGCATTTCGTAAATAAATAAATTTGCCCATTGAAATTACATCAAGTTCAGGAAATTCATCAGTACCTAAGGGTTCTAATTCGTTTACTGAAAACCATGTATCCAAAATTTCAAACTTGCTTCCAACTTGATATGAGTCGCAATGCTCGTCTATCCATTTTTAGCTTATCAATATAAATTTAACACGTTTTTTAGTTTTATATCGTTTTTCCATTAAGATAATAAATCATTCGACGACATGTCGATTTGCTACCACGATTATGTTTATCATATTTAACATTTAGTCTATCGATACTTCCAGCTTTAATTAATTTAAAGGTATTAAGAACCCAATATTTAAAGTTTGAATTTTCATGTATACTTGACGGGTTCGTAAAATAGCCAGGCAACGATCATACTTTGAACGATTCATTATATGTCTTTCGTTTTTTCTATTGTTCATGTAATCATTAACGGTTTTTTGAAAGCTTTGAAATGAAAGAAACGAAAAAACTAGCTAAGAATTGAAGCCATATTATGGAAGATAAATAACAAAGAAAGTTTTTTTTTTTTTTTTTTATAATCAATCTAATTTATTAAACTCTTATATTAAACGAGTTTAATTGACGTACGTACAGTATGTTAATTTTTAAAACTACGTTACATATAAATTTTAAAACTACGTATGTTACATTTTAATCGGTATAAATTTTAAACTCAATTTTGAATTTTAGAATATATAATATATAATATTTTTAAAATTTTAATTTAATATTTTTTTTATTTTAATAAAGGTCAATATTGTAGATGATGTTTTGAAATAAATTATCTGCATCCACTATTGGAGGCAAAAGAAGTAAAGAAGAAGCTTTTATATAAGTAAAAAAAGAAGGGTGGTCAATTCTGAATGTAAGTAAAGACACTAAACATGAGCATTTGTTTATATTTTGTATAAATATATATTTTTTTAACTTTCACATTTTTATTTGTAGTTAGAAACCTTATTGAATTCTCCAGATACTTCATCATAAAAATCTCCAAAATACATAAAGCTTTGAGAAAATAGATAGTACACCTTTGATTAGAAAAAAAGGTTCCAAGTTCCTGAATTTACATATTAGCATCCATTTCACAAGTAGAAGTCAGTATGTACCATAAATCAATTCAGTGCTAAACACTGTAATGGGCTTTGATTATAAATTTTCAGACTAGTTATCTTATTTTTAAATTCTGACTTTACCTGGTACTATAAGAGAGAGCTGATATTAATAGTCAAGATTAAGAAAAGATCTATTCTCAAAGATCTCAGTAAACAGACATTTTACAATTATTATATGAATAAGGTAAGTTTATAGGTACATGATAAATGATTTATTGTACTCCATAATTATTTCTGGTTCATGCAGATCAGATAAAAAAACTGATAATAATCTATATTAGAATAAGTAAAAGATTTTATAATTCTCTATTCCTTCTCTTAGAACTCTCTAAACCACTTTAACTTATGATTTAAAAAAACTCTCTTTAAAATTTCAAATTAGAAAACACTTTATGAGAAATATTTTAATTATAGTATTAGATGATTAATATATTTGTTTGAAAATATATTATCGATATTTCTAATGGTGATTGCCTGGATGAAGAAATCACCAAGTGGCTTTATTCTTCTCATGAAAAATTTTGAACCAAGACTATATATGCGATAAAATGTTCTTTGATTACTATAATCTTATGAACTGCAACTAAGTTAAGAAGGTTGTACTTAAATGAAGTTATCTGCAACAAGGTAGTGCAGAAAAACCTTTGGAGATGTTAGACCAACTAAAGATGTATCTCCACAAGAACTCCACATTGATCTTCATAGATATATTGAGTGTCGGAGGGATAGCATTCCTATGAGATGCTATTCTTTTCACCAAACTAACCTCTCTAGCCATTGTCAATAATGAAGTTGGTTGCCAAAAATAATACTATAACTATCTTGGATCTTTCTGAGAAAAAAGCATTAATAGTGTGAAGTGATTTATAATAAAGAAATATTATATAAAAAATTATTTTGAGTAAAGGGTATTACAAAGAAGTGTTATTCCTAGATGTGTAATATTTACAAAGTAATGCATGTGTATTTAATCTATGCTATTAAAATTTGGTTTAATTAATATAGTAGAGCAGGATCTCCAACAGTATTAAAAGCTTGTGCTTATTTGGCCTTAAAGGCCAAAACTGCTCTCAAAACAACCCCTTAGGATTTTATGTGGTGGCAATATAGACATTTTATGCATTATACTGTATACGTTTCTGTCATTATAAACAATTAACAAATGTTTATTATAAATAAAGGCCATTTAATCTCATAATACTGAAAACTATCATAATCTGATACTCTTTATTGAACATAAATTGCATATAGTACATTGCTTAAGCTATAACAGAAACTTAATCCCTAAACTATTCACTAACCACTCACCAAATCTAACACGCTTTACGACCAATCATACCTAATCCTATACGATGTCATTTTTGTTCAGACTTGCTGTTTCAAAGCTTGACACTATTTTTTTAAGCACTCCATATGCCAATGAATCGATGCCTTTGAGTTTAACCGGAGAACACGTAAAATCTCAGTCCTATATTGATATGACAGTGGAAAACAATGAATTCTTTCAATATCAAAGTTGGCGCCTTGATAGTGATGTATGTTGTAGAAGCAGATGCTAACTCTGCCACGTATTCATTGGCGATTTATACTATCATTGGCATTACGTGCACTCTTTCCAAAAGTAGGTTTAGCGGTCCTCAGCCTATGGAGTATAAAGTTATCCAAAATGCTATTAGCACTACGGTGCAAAGATCCCAATCGGATCATTGCCACAAATTGACGCTGAAACAATGACAGATGCATTTTTGACGGCCTCCGTCCTAAATACTGTTGCTAGATGACGGAGGATGTATTGCTCGAATTACAGGTGTTTCAAATTAACGAGTTAAAGAAAATAATAGAACAGTTGTTATGGTTAATGAATTGATTAAATTTGACGTTACAGCATTCGAGCTTTCTGATGGAATACTAAGAAAAGAGTTAAGTGTTATGATGACCACCGTGTAGCAATTAGTTTTAATGTGCAGAAAAAACGTATCCAGATTGGTGAAATGAGTTAGAACCAAATTAAATATACAATTTGGTGGTTAGACGAAAGCCAGAGCACTATTTATTAGTACAAAAGTTTTATTTATTAGAAAAGTTTATTGAACTTTCAATTATCGATTTTGTTAATTATTTCGATGCCACCTTGCCACGACCACGACAATACAAGGTATTGTAGAAAAGCAAGAATAGTCAACATTTTTCCATGAAAAAGAATTTGAGATTATTTGATCATTTTATTTCAATAATTTCTGCAATTGCGGAATAGTTGAGACCCCATCGTCCCGTATTTTTTTCGTAGTATATATGCACGAAAGGAAGATGATTGTACATACAGTAAGAGATATTAAGGAAGTGGGAAAACATCTAAGATATTTAAACAGATATTACTTGTCCATATATGAGATGCATTTATTGATGTATGGAATCGACACGAGTAATGATATAAAGAATATTCCAATTATGAATATGTTCTGATGATATTGATCTATCAGATTGGTATTGTGAAGAAAATGATTTTTACTAAAATTTATTGTTGGACACGAATATAACCAGGTAAAAAAAATAACAGTCAAATGCCAGCTCCGCATTACAACATATGCCTACCATAAGGCGGCGTCCATAATTTACGTTAAACCGGTATTGTTATGGAAATCTTAAAGATAATACAAAAATAATACCAGATGGTATTATCTATTTCTATACAATACAGTACTAGCTTAACGTAAATTATGGACGCCGCCTAACTCACGGCGTGGACGTAATGATAAGTTTAAGTGTGTTCAGAGTTAATAATTATTAAATTAATATCATCTACAATTAAGCCAATAATTTATTTTACCTTTAAAATTTTTAAAATTAGAACTGTTACGGTCACGTAATTGATTTCTGACGTTTTTAAATTATTCACACTATAAACGATACAATCATTTTTGGATAAACAGTTAACAGTTTAAAGACCAGATAAAATTATCTACATTGTGTTTAATGAATAATATCCAACGGCAGACATATATTTTATTATCCCAAGTGAAATAGAGATCCGATTCTCAAATCCAAACTGTGTAATAGTGTAATAATTCAAGATAAAAAGGTTTTGGGGAACAATTCCCAGAACCGAAGTATCTCTAGTTATTTTGTAATATCATATCTCATTATTATTTCGTACAATTCATTAGAAGAAATTTCATGCAATTTAAATCATTTCGAAATTTTATCATCACCTGTTTCCGATTTTTCCAGTTCAGCTTCTCTTTAACTGTTTCGAAATTTCATAATCAAGACTTTTTTGATCTATTTTAAAAACAAAGTAATAAGTATATAAAAAGTTAACCGAGAAATAAACAAGATGATATCTTTTTTCAATGTGAGTTTCACGCTATTCTTATCCATCTTTTTTTTCAGTTTGTTTAAAGCTTCTCTATTTGCATTTCGAGTTATCATTATATTACTGTATTATAATTTATAATCTTTCATAAGAAATAAGTAAAGGCAGAAACAATAAAGTTAGATTAAGAAATATTCATGCCAATTGCTTATTTGTTAATATATCTTCAGCAATATGCTCGCGTCTGTAAGAACTGAATAATTTAAAAGCTTGAGTATAAAATAAAATAAACATGAATAAAAGAAAAAGTCTAAGTACCTATATACTTGAAATATATTTCATTTCAAGACTAGTTATTTTTATTTTACAAGCTTGTTTGATTAAATGAACAATGCTATACTAAGTTATGTGAAATACATTATTATTATTATTATTATTTTAATATACAGTATCATATAATCAATTAAACATTAAGATATATTCTTATTTATGCTTGCTAATTGTAGATGTTGACTATATTATTTCACTCCATGTATTTGTATTCAAAAGTTTTCATATTCATCAAGTTCTAGTGGCATAAGTTCGTTTATATAATAGGTAATATTAAGAATTCACTATGATACTGTAAATACTGCAATTGTTTTCTAATTATTTTGAAGGTAAAGTACTCTATTACTGTGAAATAAAGGTTTATAATGTTAATTTAAAATTTTTTTTTTTTAAAGATATTTATTGACTAAAATTTGTCTTGAAATAAAAATATCTTGAATTAATGTTTTGGATATACAACTGCTTTAAATATAACTATTAAATTATATTTATTATTTCGTAATTACTTTGTTATTGTAATCACTCAAGTTTTTTTGAAACCTGAGATCATCTTAATTCCCATTTCCATCATCCTTAAGTATTACTATCTTTTACTAGATGAGTTTTAAATTTTACAGTCTAGATATTTTTGATAGAATCTCAAAGAATTAGAATCATCATTATGATTATTTTTTTAAAAAAAAACTTTAATTGAAGAGTTTAAAGCATGATCACTTCGTGAAATAAAGTTTTACAAAGTCGGTTAATAGGCTTATTATTGAAAAAAATTCTTCAGTAAACTAACTGAGTTTTATAAGTCTGCCGACAAATTGTGATTTCATTTATAATTAATTGGTTGGTTACTGGTCGAATTAATTCTAATCCACGGATTATATAGAAATTCTCGACTGTATCAAAATCTACTTTATAAATACCTTATAGACTTTGATACGGTTTATTATGATCCCTATAAGAAAAAGCTATTGAGCATCTCATCTACTATTAACATTGAAAATATAACGTAAATACACGTTTCTGTCGTCACACTACATGAAAAAATTGATGCACCGAGCTATAAAAGGTAAACACTATATGGCGAAAAACGATGGTATTTTAGAATTATTTACTATAATTTTATTCCTTTTCACTTCAAAACTGCATTATTATTATCAAAATTTATTATAATCATAACTATAATTGCTGGTAGAAATGCTACAATCACAAAGTTATAATATAATAATCATACACCAATACCGCAATTCAGTAATTTCACCGTTGATTATATCCATTATTTGAAAAACTTTCGCGTCCTCTTGTAAGGTGATGGTTTAATCATCTTTAAAAAATTATATCTAACCGAGGTCCTCTAGGGAGCTCTAACGAGTATAGAATTGTATGAAAAATGATCTATCATCAAACATAAGAAGGAGAGTATGGGTATTTCCTTTATATATGGTAGAAAACGTACATACACGTATTCCTTATTTATTATTTCTTACATTCCTAAACAAAATTATAAGATTCTAACGCCTTTATATCCAAATTTCTATTCTATTTTAAATATCTAAGGTTCAACATAACAACACTATAGAACAATAGCAAGTTACCTTCTTAATTTATCTTGGTAACTCTTCAGAACATATCGTATCATGTGACATCAAGTAAGTTGTAATATAAACATAAGAATTTCTAACCAGTTATCGCGATATACGACTACTAAAGTTCGGCAATACCACCTTGGGTAGAGGATATATGATTCACGTGAAGGTGGAGTTCTCACCGATTCAATACAAGGTAATAGCTTAACATAACGCGAACTCTGATAGTAAAAAATTACTGCGGAAAGTATTTCACTGTATTACTCATTAATTAGAAGGAATAGAGTTCTCATTTTTTGTATTTAGATATCTTAAAGAATGATGTTTAATATGAGCTTAAAAACTAGGATGGTTAATTTACCCGTTCGAGAGAAATGAATTTTGGGCATAGTGAAAAAACCAGAAATCGGTTACACAAGATTCACACTTAGGTTAAAAGTAGGTTACTTGCCTGGTTACGCATATGAAATTTAGGTTACTTTTGGTACAAAATGATCCAAATTTGTGCGCCCTATTATACGGAAAAGTCAAAACGCGACAAAATCGCTTGCATTATTTGTATGAGGAAAGATTGAGGGATGGTTAAGTTTCTGTAATTTCCTGGTTTCTCTAGTCTTCTGCTATGTACTCTTAGTGAGTAATTTATAAGAAACAACCTCGGGTTGTTTGTTTTTAATATTTTTTTCGATAAAAAAATATAGACGTTACCCTACTTTTTTGCTTGCGAGGGGGGAGATTTTCGAATTTTTCCCTGATAAGCGGCATTAAAGGCAAGTTTATCTAGAGATTATTATTATCTATAACTAGAGAAGTGCATAAAATTCGTGTGTATTCCTTATCCGTAGGATACTCTTTTTTTAAAAGTAACTTGCGAAGAGCGCTGCAAGAGCTCTAGCCCTAAGTGGGTGGGGGACTTGTATGTGAATTCGCACTTAAGGGAGGTTTTTCTAAAAAAAATTTTTTTTTAGAATCTTTATCCTAGGAAAGTAAGGAGCGGCAAAATGGATACTCTATGTGGTAATCCATAACGATGAGCCTAACCTAGTTAGTTAGTGCTTCTAGCGTGGGTTATTACTTAAGAGGTATAGATGGACTGATGGCGTACGTCGTCGATCCTTTCTATACAAAAAGTAAGAAAATACCGGTTAGGCTATCCTAATCGTGTATAGGATAAATCGTGGAAGAGATTGAAGCTTTATTGCTTTGAAACCTAAAGCGATGAATCTGAAATACAATAGATACCTGGTTGATCCTGCCAGTAGTCATATGCTTGTCTCAAAGATTAAGCCATGCATGTCTAAGT